TCAACACTTGGCCTAATGGAGATTTCCTTAGCTGCAGAGCAAAATTTCTAAAGTTGAAATATGTCAGTAAAGCAACATCCGACTTCAGCTTCCTTTTTCTTATCAAACATGTGAACAATAAAATATTTCAACTCAACTAGAGGCACCTACTTCCCATACTTTGTAGGAAACTCACGAAAAAAAGTTGTCGATAAACATTACAGGGCCAAGTTAATTTGATTTACATCCACACAGCTTGTTTCTTTTCACTTAAAAAAAATTACTGTTCAAGAAAAAAGTTCAAGTTGAACAAGAACGGATTATTTGGAACCCCTTCTTCTTCATGCCACTTGCTACTAAATCAGTCTAACCGTCCTAATGTCCTATAGGTTGTCTTCAACTGAGCAATCGTCCTTTATCTGCGTAAATTATTCTATTCTGGCCATCTAGACAGCCGGTTATTTATTCATGCATACCCAGTGGTTGCCTGTGACCTCCGCTATGCATGTGGAGGCTTTTGGTGGAATTTTCTCCAGATAAAATCAATCCTCTCATTTCCACTTAGCAATAATTCATGTCAAAACTTTGAGAACATTAGACGCTTGGAAATTCACATTTTCTCTGCCTTAGAGTTCAGTGACTTTTGTTTTTCGTTACCAAGATTTCCTTTATAAACAAAACTATCATAAATTAAGAGATAAATTATTATTTATCACATGTTACACCTTAAATAAACCTCTTTTGTAAGAAAGTATAAAAATGTAAACAACATATTACTGTGAATAAAGCAAGCAAATGTAATCACTCACTGGCTCAAAACTCGAGTTATCCATACCCCTTATCACAAACCCCCTACCCCTCCATTTTTAAAGGGACACATAATATCCTGGACACCTACTATTGAGCCAACTATTACTTTCCAAACATTAAAATTTATTATTAGGTTCCATACACTGCAACTGCTATTAAAAGAAATATCTTTCTCAAATAACATGCCATCCATCTTATCTGTCCACCTTCTTACTTGAGCCTCCATATTAATTTTCAGCCATACTCACAACTGTTTTAACTGTAACCTAAACTGGAAATGGTCTTTATGACATCATCACACAACTAGAGTACATAAGCAGGGCACTACAACTTCAGCATCAAGTGATGTCTGGTTTTACTCAGACTAGGTAAAAATTCAGCCTGTATGTGTGTATAAGTGCGTGTGTGTTGGGTCATTTGTACTTCTAGTGGGAGCACAGGTGTATGTGGATGTCCTGTAATCCAGTCAGGTTGACATTCCACATCTGCCTACTACACAGAGACTGGCATAATAAAGTTTGCTTACACCAATCTACTGTGAGTCTTAATAATATAACTTAATAACTTGTTTACCTGGACAGTTTACAGACGCAGACTTTTGTCACGTAAAATACCAACTGAGGCAACCTGTGAAATTTACTTTCAAAGCAAGAAATACACCAGACTGATGAAAAAATAATTAGTGAAATTTTCAATTAAGACTTATTGGTTTTATTTCTGAAAAAAAGAAAAAAAACATAGAACAGCTATCTGTGTCTTCAATCCCAGGACTGGATGTTGTTGAGTGAGATTGGGCTGGCAGCGATGTAGAAATGGCTTTACATTAGCTTAGTTATGAATGGACTGTTGGCATTCTAACTTGAACCCCATTTCCTGATATTAACGAGGGCTCAGGTGGGGGGATGCATACTAATCCTAATGGCTTGTGTAGCCCTATTAATGAGGGCTCAGGTGGGGGGTCGCATACTAATCTTAATGGCTCTTGTAGATTTACGTAGCACTGAATTCTCAAAATGTTTACATGTGATGAGAATTTTTAACATTCCTGAGTGTTGTCCTAAACCAGGCACTAATTAATTAATACAGCAGTGCAGTTACTTTAGTTTCATTTTATACAGTTGAATTAAAAAAACCCAATACGCATGGCTTCACCAACTGCCTTACAAAGAAAACTGCAGCATGGAAAAATATTCCTAACTAACACTAATTCCAAATGTAATTTCAAATCAACACAGTTTCCTACTGAGTTTACATACATTTGGACTGGAGTGAAAAATCCCACACAGCAGTATGGCCAAGCTAAAATTAGATTCCCTAAGCAAACTTGCTGCCACTTTGGCCTGGCTTTTGATCTGCAGATCTCTCCCTAGAACTTATACATTAAATATCCCTGTGGAGGGGTAAGACAGGTTTACACACACATATTTACTCTCATCGTGAATGTTGAACAGCGATTTGACCACTCCAAGGCAGATAACTATTGACCATTACTGCATCTTGACCTAACTAGCCATGTGTAATATGAGATGATGCAATCTACATATTTTTTGCCTCTCGGACCAACCATGTACCAACTTGGTTGGCACTGCTCAGACCAGGTTGGTTGTGTGTAAACGCTACCTAACAATGCAGGCTAACCCATGCTGAGGATAATATGATTTGAAGGCACTGTAAAGCACAGAGGAAAAGGGAACATTATGTAACCGGGGTTCAATTACTGGCCTATGCCATAATGCTCAACAGTTGGGCCAGGTTAATCAGAAAGTAAAATAACTGCAATGAAAGCTTATGCTATTAGATTTGTGCTAGATCTTGACTTGTTTTCGTGGTGTGGAGACATTGTCGCCCTCCTTGCACTGCCACATCCTCTCACCTGACGACAACAACATTAACGTCACCTTCGATGGTGACCTTGATGGCTCACACTCCATCATACTACATGTATAACACAAGACCTGAAATAACTCTCTTAAATTACCTAAAATAATGTCAACATATAGTTTTTGGTAGTTGTACTGTAAATTCAATACCCATATCAATGAAGTGTATACATGAAATTTATTGAGATGGGAGAGATCTATTTTACAATTCCCATGGAATGTAAATAGTGGCATTAACCAGCCACCTATTAAAGTAAGGTAAATTACACTGAACTAAAATCAGCAAAGAAAACCCTCAAAAAACCAGTAAACCAAGATCTTTCCATGAGCAGTATGAAGAAGCCTCCGTCATTATGATAATGATGTCAATTTTGTTCCTTTATGATCAGCATGAGGTCATAAAGTGACAGGCATTATCTGGAGGCTGGTAGGAACCCGATGTCATGCCCTCTCCCCTTCCTGTTGAGAAAGTCTCAGCCCTCAGGCAGAGTGAATTTACACATACACATCTGTGCAGTCACACAACTTAAAATCCCCTTCTACATAATACTCATTACTACTTTCACATATGTTAGGTTAAAGTATTGATCTTTTACTATGTGGCTCTTTTTTATCATTACATCTGAATAATATGTCAAATTAAGTCTCCCCGGCAGAATGTGACCATTGAATAAAGCCAGTTTATGTTTAAATTTTACATGTATCTGATCCTGTCTAACAGACAGATGACATTTCAACAGATCTTTCTTCAGCCTAAGTTTAACTCTCAATGACAACAACACAGCAAACCCTCCAGAGTAAGGTAAATATAGTTTTCACATCCTGTAGTTTCCATGTTATTTAGTCCTCTTTCCTGGCCCAATTCATAACCAACTCCCATCACTATACAACCAATACAGCATTACAAGATATCCTCTCTCTTGGCTTTCAATCCTGGCTATCTGAACCCTACTTAGGTACAATTTTTTGCCCTAAAATACATCTCACTGATAAGCCACCTGATATAACAAGCAACCCCAGTGGAGGAGTGACGTTAAGAGGCGGCCTATCTCGTCTTGTACGCACTTGAGTTTCCTCTGACCCCCTATATATATTTACTACTGTTAACACTGGCCTACACAAACACCAAGATACTTTTTGCTCTGATAAAACCAAGGCATTAGAGAGGCCACCTTGGACGCTGGTGGGGTGTTTAGTATGAGTATTACCAGGTCTCTATCCTGCACTTTGATTACAATCCAAGTCCATAATTCAATATGAGGGATATATTTAACTGTAACAGCAATCATAGACAGATATAACATACAGAATTATATTCCTAAAGCACCGAGTACACTCTGAAATGAACACCACCACAGTGCATCTGCACAGGTTATGTGTACCATAACCCTACCTTATCTGCTAAAAACTTTCTCATGCTCGGCTTTTATGTAACTAACCACAATTATGTTTTCCATTCATTGCTCATTAAGCTGTTTGTGAACAAAAATCTACCTTTTGGTACAAGTGTTAAATCACAGGTCAAAGTAATATATTAGTGCTGAGACTCAGATTATGCAATTTACAAGGAGCACCAACATCCTTCTGAAAACCTGAGAAAACAGCCTTGGTAGATTCTTCCTCTACAAGTTAATGCACTTTCCTTCTCCCTCATCCATCTATCAGGTCTATGGCTTTGATAGTCATCCCCAAAGCCCTAAACATGCATAACAGCACTTTCCCCATGTGTATCCCCTCAGCTGGGCCCCCAAACACTGTCATCAAGTGCCCTGGCCATGTATGACTTATGAGGAGGGAAGCTGGTAATGGACAGGAAGCAGGCTCACTGGTATAACATGTGGGACTTATCAGGTCCCAGCCAGCACAGTTGGCCTTCCTCTGGTCCAAATTACAGCCTAGGCTGTGAGAACCTGCAACTTCACAAGCTATAAAACAATGCAACGGCCTGATGCTTTTAAAATCTAAACCATTTCTCCCAACTAACTTAACTCTCTTAACTAACCTGATAAAATCTCTTTTAAAGCAAAGCACTTGCTAGTATTTTCCCCAGGTTTTTCGGCTTTCCTTATGTGATTGTTTCAACAAGTTGTTCCCCAAAGTGATGATTCACCCTAGTGAAATTTCCTTCAGTTTCTCAAGCGTAGTTGTCTGCATTTCAAAGTTTAATCCAATGTTCAGATTTTTTTCTGTACAGCTGCTTCCAAATTTGCCAAATATGAAGCAGGCATGGAAAATGAATCAATTTTATGAATGAATGAATGAATCCGCGAGTTGTGGATCATAATAAACAATGAATATCAATCTATGTCATTGATTCAGTCAAACTCTACAGATTTTTTGATTAGGCATATTCTTTTATTCCATGAGTGGTACTCTTTCTTTTTCTCTTTGTACTCTAGTAAATACCACTGGCATTTCAACAAATAAATAGTCTGGATTTTTATATAAAATAATTCATATGCACATGAATGTTGAGATATTGTTTGTGAACCAATAAATACTGTATCAGACCGAGGGAGTTATGTACACAAAACGTGATGGGCACATTTGGTTGCAAAACTAAAACTGGAACATCTGCCCGCCTTTATAGCAAATACTCTAAGGCAAATGACTTAGAATTTTAGCTCTATAACAAATAGCTTTTACTGCTTAGAGTAAATCTATATACACTAACAATGTAATTTCTGTACAATGTGATATACATAACATTTATATCAACAATCATCAACAACTTGCATTTTACATCATGATACTTTTTCTGATTTTTTTTCTTTTTTTGTTTAACTTTTTTATCTTAGAAAATAATAGTTTTCTTTAACCAAACAAATGGCAGTGATTTGTAGTAACATATACACTGGGTTCTTCTAAGTGAGCTTTTAAAGACTAAGTAACTTGCCATCGTCCAAACATCAAAATGAGCCTCCATATTTGTAACATTACAGTACGCCTCTTGCACCCAACATGACCATATTTTAATCCATTCTGCTGTTTAAAAGATGGCAAGTCAACGTGGTAGTAGGAAAAATATATTTGCAACTACATCTCTTAAACAACTAGGACAAATTTTACCTCCATGCCTGACTGCAGGGTGACAGTGAAGTGTTTTACAACTGCAGTCCTGTAGCTCCACCGTCCAAACAGAACAGTGTCGTAACCATGGTAACAATACAAGTCACCTGCCGTAAGGTTCCATATGTCTAAGTTACAGTTGATCACAGTACGAAGTATAATAATAATCCAATATTTAATAATCCTTGTTAGTTGGACACGGAAGGTGTAATAAAGAGAAATGGGGATCCATACTTTTTCAATATGGCATATAAATCCACAATTTTGTAAAATTGTTGAAACATCGAACAATCCAACGTAGTTCTCCACATCCGTAGGATTTCAGGTAGTAAAAGTAACAATGCCGTCAAAAATCATGTCCTCTCCATCATCACACTCATGGCTCCACTATCACGCACTCGAACTCTCTGACTCGATCAATAAACCCTTAAGAGCACTGTCTGTGGGGCGCTCCTCCGCTTTACATGTGCACCCAGTCCTTTTGGAGCGGTTGTAGCAACACGTGCAAAGCGCGACACATCCCTTGAGAGGGAAGTACAGACACAGACATGGCAGGCACACCGATAATGCAGCCATCGTAGACCAGCGTTTAAAACAGTGTGGCCTCTCACAGCATGCACACGGATCGTCCGAGGCAGAGACCTCTAGGTCTTGTTCTCTATCCTTGTAACAGTGATAAAACAGTCCTTGAATACAGCACAGACAGCTGACTCTGTCCACAATACAATTTGCTGAACACTCTTGTTTGCCATTACAAATCCACCTTGAAGGTAATTCTGAGGGACCTTCAACACATCTCCGGCATCTGCACTTCTGACAACGCGGACAAATTATTGAACTATTGTGATTCTCCGTCAGTTCTGGGTCGATGGTAATTTGCAACCCTTCCTTTGCTGTCTGTGGTTGTGTCACAATAACAGGATGGTCGTCAGGCTGAAACTGTTGTTGCTGACGCTTTAGTTCTACCTCTTTAGTCCGGTTCAGTCTGTTCTGTTCAACTGTAGAAAGAGAGGTGGTGGGGGCACCTGTAGTTTTGTCTAAATTTTGCACGTCTGACTCCTTTTTCTTAGGAGGTGGCGGCCTCGGTGGGGGAGGCAGGCCCACATAGTTGTTCATTGCCCTCGAGGGCTGTATTCTGTCAATACTAACGACATTCCGTCCACACACGGGGCTAGTCCTCTGTGCCCGTCCCGGCCGTGTCGGCAAAGGAGGCGGGGTTTCCTGCTGCTTTGCCAACCGACTTGCAGCCTCGGCACTTATTCTGCGTGTTCCATGTTGCTCGGACTGCTCCATTGACAAACCTAAAAGTCATATAAAATAACAAAGTTTCAATTGGGGTATTTAAATGAAAAGTTACAATGTATCGAGCGCGTCGACAGCCACTACGCAAACTTTCGCCGCAGCCATGATGCTCGGTGTGTTCTTCATCTCGGCGATACGGAGGCCGGATATCCCAGGCTTGGATCTGACCATCTGGTTGGCAAACGCACTGAGAACGGATGTACCAACTGACAGCCCTCCGTAGATTACTCAAACACGAACACAAGTATGGCAGGAAATGGGGAGGGTTAACACGGGAGTGAAACGGCCGGCGTAAACTAAAGCCTGAAGGAAAGAAATCCGCTCGTTCCGTAAGACAGTCACACAGGCCACGTTGTGCCTCAAACACCGTCCTCTACACAGCTATCACCCTGTCCAAACATTCAGATAACCTACCGGTGTGGTGATCTATCAAGAGGGGGTTAACCTAGTTTAAACGTGTGCTCTGACGGTTTGTTTTCAGATTGATTCAATGAGGCTATTCCGCATTTATGAATGGAGAGCTCGAGCTCACCTCCAAGCGAACACCAGTGCTAAATTAATGTTTCTCTACTAAAACGAGTTCATCTTACCTTTATAATAACGTCCTATAATTCTCAAGCTCCATAGTCCTAATACATGTTTTGTAAATCCGTAGTGTATTGGACCGTTCGACGAGCGTTAAGTCAGTTCTGGCTTTACTGTCTGAAACCGCCTACTTGCATTAGTCTCCATATATGGACGAAACCTGACACCAGAAATGACCTCCCTACAGAGCTTCCGGACCATGTTTATTCAGTGAAAAGGGGACACAGGTTGTTGTACATTTCAACCAATTAGCCGTCATGTACCAGGTTTATGGTAGTTAGACACGAAATTCTACGAAGATTTATTGATTGCTCGATTTGAATGAGATAGAATGCCCCAATTCCATAGGAAGTGGGTTTTGATAAAAAATGAGCGTGCCATGTGCCGCTGATATTCTGATGCTCTAATTTATCTACTTCCCTCTCGCGGTTAAAAGATCGACTGGCTCAGAAGGCACGTGACTTACTGCGCAAACAAAAGAACAAAAAGGATCAATGAAAGCGTAGACTGTCCATACTCCCGCCAAAAGTCTATAGTTTTAAAGCGTTTACTCAAAGTTATTTACTGTTTTAGTATTTGTTTAATATCAAGTTTAATAAAATGGCACATTTTGACATAAAAGCACCCCTGAAAAGCACACCTTAGGTATTCATTCATGGTTGCGTTCATCGAGTAATTAACATTCTGATGAAACGCAAATGAGTACATTTCATGAGAGCGCACATAGCCCGTCAACACCAGTTTGGTCAAATAGCAATAATTATCCACTAATAGAGTTCCTGTCAGAAATTATGAAACAAAACCAACTTACCTTTTTTCATCAAAATTAATAAGCCATTTCGTAACGATGAATTCGCGTCATTTTAAGCACAACCATATAGTAGAAAGAGAGAGAATAATTTCCTATTTAAATGTCCGTGTGATTTTTAATGGTTTACTGCACTGGTCACCCAAATAACATGATTCATCGGCCAAATAGTGTGAAGCGAAACCACGGGAGTGTATTCAACACGTCGCTTACCTAATGTTGCGGTTTCACTGCCACGGGAAATCCAGTTGTGCGCCAGTGGCTTCGTCAAGGGAAACCATGCTTTTCTACACGGACTTCCAACTACCGGCGGTTTGCATGCGTGTCGAGTGAAGCCACTACTGTTAAGGATGGTAACTCAGTCAAGATAGGTCACTACCTAACCTTGTCAATAAACTGATGGCTTCAAGTAACGCACCTCTGTAACACCTGGTCTTAAAATCTACCTGTGGCAGTGACCGTATTTACTATAAGGGTCCCACTTGTCAAACCTTAGGTGGGTTTTAATTTTCCTCCAGCTTTACGCTTCACGGCACATGGGCGCATTAATGAATGGGACACCTGGAGAGTGGGGGAGATTGAAGATTGTCAAGGGTGAAGCAGGGGGTCATCGAGATCTCGACTCGCGTCAAGATGCGTGAGAATATCGCACTGCTGCCACCCTCATCTGTTCCTAGTGATGTCAGCATACATTGTAGCTAATTGTTACATTCCGTGGAGGTCAAATAATGTGAATGTGATGTAACTATTCGACATCGCTTTGTAAATTCTGCGTAAAAAAATGTTATATATTTTTCTAAACCACGCCCCCTTCTTTTCATTTTAAATCATCTGTTCACAGTGATTTAAAGGTTAGAGAACATTTATCATTGATATATTGCGGTATGTCTCACGGACTATTAAATCACAGAAAATAATAATAACAGACGGAACTAGCTGCAGCTTAGCTTGGAGAATGGATGAATGAATGAAATAACAAGTCATCATTTACCTCTCTATTTTAGCATGTCCGCCGAGACCAACGGCTCTCATTCAAGCAGCCGGGAGATTTGCTCGATTGAGCTGCTCATGCTCCGGTTCCGAGATAAGCTATACTTCTTTCCTGCTTAGGCCACTCATTCAAACACAACACTACGTCTACTGGCATTTTTTTCAGTGGTTTAGTGTCTGACGTGTGTCCTGATGTTTGTTTTCTTCAAATATTATAGACGGACAGCCCAAATGACCAGTGGGTCCAGAAAATATACAGGTATTGCGAATTCAATCAATTTACAATCAACATTTGCACATAAGAAATATTGGATTCGCTTTCAAACTTTTAATTCTTTTTTTTTTTTCATATCAAAACTTATCAGTTACAATTTTGTTTAGACTGTCATTATCCATTTCTTTTCATTCTAATTTTTCATAATTCAAAATTTTGTAATTATATTCATTTTGGGTCGAGCCATTAATTTTCGTAGGAGATCTAGAGAAAACAAATAGCAGGAAAAACCAGAAAGCCAAATTAATCATAAGAAAAATGGAACAAAAGAAACCATACGAACTATTCTACAGCAAGTTTCTCGTATCTGTGAGACAACTTACAAACCGAAGATGGTATTTTTAGCATCGCAAATGTGATTTACTGATCGCAGCGCGTTTCCCTCGAGCATAGGTCACTCGTACTGCCTATTAAGGATCTTCATTGCGTTCGTCGACCGTGGACATTCCAAACCTTGGTAACCTGGTCAATGTGCTCTAGAACGGTCTATTCGTATAACACGGAAATTCGACGAACAAACCAGGTGTGCAACTAAAAATACACCCATTCAGAAAACAGGTGAAGAAGAACGCTGGATGCACATCTGACGTTTTGTTTAATTTTTTTTTCTTAAGAAACGGAGAAATGGTTTGATTCCGATCGGTTTTATACCAGTACAAAAATTCACATTTCTTAACAGTTTTTCTTAATAGGCTGCTGGACGTGAACTTCTTCCATGTTGCCTTTCCATCCCCCCTCAACTGATGGGCAGCGTGGGTTACCATTGCGTTTGGTGCGACACGAGAGAGAATGAGAGAGAGATGGAGAGAGGAAGGGAGGGAGGGAAAGAAAAAAGATCGGCTTAGGTCCTAGGATCAGTCCAATTCTGACCATATATTTGAAACAGCTTCTGTTTTACACATATTTCTATACAAGAGACATAATCATCAAGAGAGCTCACAGGCAGAGAGTGCCTGGTAATAACTGTTTGCCGTGGGTATGTTTGGTCAATATTGACCCTCAGACTGACCAGCTTTGTCCACACGCTTTCAATGACCAAAATATACATAACGAGTTGATGTTTTCCTCAAAGAAAATGTTAAGATGTTGAGGAAATGTTGATTTATGACCTCGAGCCGACTGTTTGCTGTGCTAAATTTGAGACTGGTCACTTGATCTGAAAGAGTAATATTTTCCAAACTTTTCACCCAACTTTAACTTTGTAGCTTTTATAATTGTTTTTATACAAAATACTGGTCATATAATACGATTGCCAAGATTCAATGTCTCTATTTTTTACCACTCCATCTGAGATGAGATGTTCACCCTGACGCAACAATCTGACTACTACTCAACAAAACCCGCCCCCATCTCCATAAGCATGGTTCCTATAATTTCCGTCCTCCTCCCGTCTCTTACCTGACATTCACCACGATATCACACCCTCTTAACTGTCAAACACATTAGTAGGCCAAAAAGTGAAAACTTTAAATTGCCTCTTTATTCCTTCATTGATAACTACCAACCGACCCACACTGGAAAGACGCATACTGGCGACCTTCATCGGTAACTTTTGGAGGAGAGGGGGCGCTCCCAACCCGAAACCAAGTGCTTCCCATCTTTTATCGTGAGCGCCACACATTCAAAGAATGACGCTCTATGTAATTATTTCCCAAATTTACAGTGCAGTACCCCCACCCCCCCCTCACCCCCGCCAATACACCCCCCCTCCCCAGCACACACTACTGCCATCACAGGGCCCCTCTCCACAACTCTGGAGTCCCGACAGGTTTTGATTGACGTCCCGGGTCACGTGATACATCCAGAGACCACTGAACCGATGCTGGTCTTCATTCTACGTACACACATTACACACATATATATCTCATGTAGTTTACTCCATGAGATATATGTGCAAATTATATTTTTTCCTGTGTTCTGTCCTAAAGTAGGTTATTTACGCGTTTCCGTCTGCGATGGTGTTTTTTCTGCCTTTTTTTTTTTTTTTTTTTTTTTGTTAAACGGTTCTGGTTATCTTCAGTTCCCTCAACACATCGTACGTGATGTTAAATCATCCTCGCTGACGCAGTTGCTGCAGTAAGCCCTTTTCTTTTTTTGTATTTTTTAAAAATCTCGATTAGTTCTCGGCCGTTAACACTGAGAAGTTCAATACTGCACAGAAGGGAACCATTATTTGAATTTTAAATGAACTTCATAAAAATAAAAAGGTGTGGATTTTACAACACCATTGTGTACTTTGAACTTCATTAATCTTTGACCTTGCAGAAAACACATATTATTTAAAATCGCCCACAGTTCTTACTGTCTCCTTACCTTCAAACACTTGTCCTACACGCTAATAAAGCGAGTATAACCCTCCATTTCCTTTCCAATAAGCCATTAAATAACAAATCCCTTTTCTCTCTCTCTCTCTCTCTGTCTCTCTCTCTCTCTCTCTCTCTCTCACACACACACAAACACACACACACCACGCATGCAGAACACGGGTTGCCCGACTGCGCTAATATCAAGCAAGGCATAGGCATAAAATATTTAGAAAAACTAAGCTTACCTTTCTGTAAAACAGTTTTCACATGGTATGAAATGCAGAAGAAAGTGGTCTCAATATGCGGTAAAAGATGTGAACCTGTGTGTCTTAAGATCTGTGTAGATTCCCTATCCCGACTCTCCTCTCACTACTATAGCCTGTTTATCAAGCGGGCTGAGCGGGTCAGCGGATTTTGGCAGGTAGAAAATACACGCTTATGGCACTCTTCCTTTGACAGGTGAGGGTGCCAACGACCCGTATACACCCGACACTTGCTCGAGAAGGAAGTTCTTTTTATCGAAAACTGGAGATGTGTATGTGTGCGCACGTTTCTAAACGCGCTTCTGAAAGTCCCAAATCTTTATACGGGGAGAGCGGGTGCTCATAGTTTTCCCCAATAATTTCGCCTCTGAATTTGAAAGACTGTATTGAATTTAGAGCGCCCGGTGGCGAGAGAGACTCAAATGGATGGAGAAAAAGACCAAAGACAGTTTTTGTCACATTCGAACGCAGGTGCAGTCTAATTTAAGCTTTTCGACTATTCAGAGGTCAGTTTGCGACAGAATTCCAGTTGGGACTTCCACATCAGAGGACATGAGAGCACGTCAACTCGTCAACCACCCGTCTCTTCTACCATTAACACTATTTTCAGTTTAACTTCACCACCAGTAACAAAATGTTTTTGCTGTCATACGTCATGATTCACTTTTTATGTCATGTATTTTTCCCCAAGGTAATAATTATAAGTTCATAACTACGCCATGTCAAGTCAGTTGTCAAAAAAAGGGACAAGACCGGTGAAATTATGAAATAGTGCTAAGAGGATTCAACAGGGGTGGATCAATGACAATATGTCGCGCCAAAATAGTCGACACAACCCAATTGTCAAAGATAAAAGAAAAAATAATAAAAAAAGGTCAATGGAGAACAAAAAATAAAAATGATTCGCACGCTGCAAAGAGAGAAAACATTCAAGAGAATACAATGACACAAATCTATAGGATGTGATACGCACAGGGGGGAGAAATAAAAGCGGATATTCATTTTGATCTATCTTTTGTTTTTGTAAATTGTTACACTTTCCTTCGCAAGCCTCTCGCGAGCTGCGTGCGTACAACGCTTCATCTTGGTAGCTATCGAGGTAAACGACGTTTAATGGTCTAAGCAAAATAACATTAATAAATAGATAGGGTCACAGTAACAAAAACGTTTTTCTAATTGAAATTTTATGTTATTAATATTGCCAAAGGCATATTAGTTTGTGATATGTAATTAATCATGGTAATCAAGGAGAAATGTGGGTTTTTTAAAATGCTTTTCAATATAGCTCGATATGCTGTTTTCGCACAGAAAAATATTACTGCGCAAAAAGTATGAATGAACAACATGAAAGCAGGGACCGTCTCAAACTAAAAAATATCGTGCATGATGAATACTGCCTAGTAGATATAGTAGATGTTTACCTTTTTTGTGGTATATGCTAAAGCTCAAGTTACTTGTTACAAGTCACGTTCTACTAGTTCAGTTTGCACAAGCCGTGACGCGAATTCCCAAACGACTCAAAACGTACAGCGGAACTATCCCATTTCCTTCTGTTCTTTTTTTGTCACTCACCTCTCTTGTTAACGACAAGACGAATGGTAAATTAATACGTGTAATTTATCATAAGTGTGTTAACTACATTTGTCACCGGTGGTAAAATGCATAAGGTCCTCCTGTCGCAAAGGACGCTTATCATTAACAGAGACAACGGGATGTACATTGCATGAAAAAAAGAGTTCCTTCTCGCAAGACTATCAGCAAAAAGGTTTAGACATACTGAATTTATATTAGTTTTCCGTATGTCTTTTTGTAGAAAAACATATTGCTTCAATGGTCAAAATTTTGAAAATTACACCAGTAAAAAATGAATTAAACTATAATATCTCCATAGAAACTTTCTTTTTTATCTTCACTCTTGAAAATATGCAAATTTTACTTTGTTCAGTTCAGGAATGAAAATATATTGGGGTTTAATAATACATCTATTTCATTCTGTCACGTTCAAGAGGACACTACCGAGGGACTTAGCGTTTGTATTAACTCATATTAACTGAATATCTTGTATCACATGTTTGTGGTATTTTCGGATTAACTAAGATTTTGCGGTAAATCCTTGAGTGATTGGGCTGATAAGTGATACCAAGACGTCGTTAAAGGTTTAACAGCAAAGTAAGATGGAAGCCCCACAGGGTAAAATTATTGAAAAAGAAATATCAATATTTCGGACAGTGTAGGTCAGTTGACCCTGTTTTTGGTTGGGCATGCATGTGGCAGCACACGCACCCTTGTGTTTGCGCGACCACGCCTGTATGCATACACACACATGCACGATTATGCGCAGGCACATGTAGGCTACACGCAGAAACACACGCACAAGCTTAAATGTTCACACACGAACACAAACACTTACAATTTTCGTATCTAGTCGGGAATAGTTTTGTCAAACCACCAGAAGTGAAAGGAATGCCTTACCTGTCTGTTTACCGGCCCAAAAAAGAATAATTCATTCATAGAAATATGATAGCGACTTTTCTTCCGGTGATAGACCAGATAAACATCAGTCCAATGGCGCATCCACGTTTTTACCCCGGTGTTGGAATGGCTATAATCTATACACATTATCATCTGCCCCACAGATACTGGAAACGTTTTAGTACTTGGAAGTGAGCTATGATATAGGAAGATGTTCATTCTCAGTCTGGACGAAGTAGATGGGGTAGGTGATCGGTGAGACCGGTATTCTGGGCTGACAAGTCACATGGTCCCAGATTTAGAAAAACAGGGAAACAGCCCCCCCCCCCTCCCGTACACCGCATCTCTCTCTAAACCAACCACCAGCACTGACACATGCTGTCAAGAATCTGTTGCTATTCGTGATCTTATACAATCAACCATATTTAACACATCTACCATCGTACAATGCTCACCTACTTGCACGTTGACTCTCCTGTTCGCTCGACACTCGGGGTCCAGCATTGTATGTAGAACAACTATGGCCAGGCCTTGGGGGTCTTGTAAACGAATCCTTGCCTTATTATGTCCGTTGTGAATAAAGTACTTTTAGCAAAGTAAAGTTTCGGCGTCTAATTTCTATTACAACTCAACAGAGACATCCTTTTACCAGGATTCTTTTTTGCAGCGTGGAGACTAACCCGAATATTGAATGAAGCTCGCATTAAAACGTTCTTCTGTCTGTGCAGCGTCGAACTTCTTTCTAGACCCGGTATCTAATAAGTATTCTGTGGCGGTACCGACTCAATGAATGCAGCCGACCTCGCTGCCTTATCTGCAAGTAAAAGTGAGTCTCCCGTTGACTGCAGTCCTCGACCGTACTATTCACAGGACACGGCTGACGGAAAGTGTTTTTTTTAATACGTCAACACTACACTGCTCTTAATATAGGCCCTCTTTGGTCTACGCCAGGAATGCCCTCCCACGCTCAGAAGAAGGGTCAAGTGGGGGAATTAGATTTTTTTGATAAAGAACAAAACGACCTTATTAAGATCCTTTCACCAAAAGTACATAGTGCCCAAAAAACTGGATGAAAAAATGCTCATAATATTGACTGAAGCGGAGGTAAAGCTGAATACAAAAAGCTTGGTATTTAGTGTGACGTCATAAGTGCTCGTATAGCGAGTTTGGCTGACAGGTAAATTTACCTGCGTTGCGTTGTTGTTTGTTTGGCGCAAACACGGACGAGGGGTGTGCACGTGCATGTCCAGGTATACGCAAAACTAAATAGCATGACATTAGTTGTAAGTGTGATACGTTTTTTAAGCACTGATTAGATGGTTTACGAACTAATTTGAAATCACTGTCCACTGATATTTATTATGCACGTGCGGATACGCGTGATTCTGAACATAACACATCTTACACACAAACGTTGTGAAAAAATTCTTAAATGTCTTTTGTCAAAAGCAATTTATTTAGTCAAATCTCTCTCTCTCTCTCTCTCTCTCTCTCAGTACAAATTTGCCCAATGCTCAGTCAAATCTCTCTCTCTCTTTCTATCTCTCAGTACAAATTTGCCCAATGCTCTGTACGTTGTACGTGTACGTCTTTGCCACGCGTGTGGACGATGGTTTTCTTGTCACATTTTCACGTGCCTGTCGTAGTGCCATACGTACAGTTAATATAACCACCGTAATCGTTTCCCCCGGTGAAAACTGCCACCTATTATGCTTTGTTACAATGTGGCTTTGGACTGCGGGAATGTGTTTTCTTTATATATTAAATAGTTCCATTAACTTTCGATCGTAGGGTCAATATTGGGCGCATTTTTAGGTCGATTCGTCTACCCTCACTTGTTGTGGAGTGTACATAACTGAGCAAGTTGACAAAAATCAATACAGTAGTTCTTTAAGCCTAATCTATACACTGGTTTTTCAAATCGTCACATAAAAAATGGGTGATGTTGTGAAGTATATTAATGGTTCTTAAAAACGATGGTGATTTATCAATCATATCACATGTAACTTTAGGATTTTTTTGCTCATTTATTGATAGAATGAGGATAATTCAGTGATTTCAATGGAGGAATGACAGTGACATGAGCGTTCCC